ACTTTTAGCATAAACCTAGCCTTTTGCTACTTTTAGCTTTTAGACACTGTTCTGCTACTTTTAGCATAAACCTAGCCTTTTGCTACTTTTAGATTTTAGACACTGTACTGCTACTTTTAGCATAAACCTAGCCTTTTGCTACTTTTAGATTTTAGACACTGTTCTGCTCTTTTTAGCATAAACCTAGCCTTTTGCTACTTTTAGCTTTTAGACACTGTTCTGCTATTTTTAACATAAACCTAGCCTTTTGCTACTTTTAGATTTTAGACGCTGTTCTGCTAATTTTAGCTAACACCTAGCCTTTTGCTACTTTTAGCTTTTAGACACTGTTCTGCCACTTTTAGCATAAATCTATCCTTTTGCTACTGTTAGCTTTTAGACACTGTTCTGCTACTTTTTAGCATAAACCTAGCCTTTTGCCACTTTTAGCTTTTAGACACTGTTCTTCTACTTTTAGCTCAAACCTAGCATTTTGCTACTTTTAGCTTTTAGACGCTGTTCTGCTACTTTTAGCATAATCCTAACATTTTGCTACTTTTACTTTTTAGACACTGTTCTGCTTTTTCTGGCATAAACCTTACCTTTTTCTTCTTTTAGCTTTTAGACACTGTTTGGCTTCTATTGGCATAAACCTAGCCTTTTTCTTATTTTAGCTTTTAGACACTGTTCTGTTACTTTTAGCATAAACCTAGCCTTTTGCTGCTTTTATCTTTTAGACACTGTTCTGCTACTTTGAGTATAAACTTTGCCTTTTGCTTCTTTTAACTTTTAGACACTGTTCTGCTAATTTTAGCTAACCTAGCCTTTTGCTACTTTGATCTTTTAGACACTGTTCTGCCACTTTTAGCACAAATCTATCGTTTTGCTACTGTTAGCTTTTAGACACTGTTCTGCCACTTTTAGCACAAATCTATCCTTTTGCTACTGTTAGCTTTTAGACACTGTTCTGCTACTTTTAGCATAAACCTAGCCTTTTGCCACTTTTAGCTTTTAGACACTGTTCTGCTTCTTTTAGGATGAACCTAGCCTTTTGCAACTTTTAGCTTTTGGACACCGTTCTGCTACTTTTGGCATAAACCTAACCTTGTTCTTCTTTTAGCTGTGCTGTTGAACGCGAGGCCTGCTAACAGGCTCCATTGGTACATGAAATTACAGAGCTCAGGTGTTGAAACTGCTCATCGTTACGCCAAATAGTCACTGGAAGCTCGAGAACACAAGTTTTGACTTTTGTTTCTGTTCGACACCTGAACTTTGACCTTTTCCAGGCAACAAACTGACTTATTGTTGCTCCGACTCAAAAACTCTGACAGCTCAGAGTCTGATGTTTTCCTAGTTTTCCTCATCATTCTAGACAACAGGCACAGATCCAGTTCCTCTGTAATCAACCAAACCTTCCACAAAATCTTCAGATAAATCTTTAGACTAAATGGGTACCGGCTCTCAGCGCATTTTCACAAAGATCAGGAAGTTTAACTCGTCTTCTCGGCTGCTGCAGGTTGATCCATGGCATAGGTCGTTCAGGTGACATCGCTGCTGTTCAGCCTAAAGCTGCTGGGTCCAGTCTGCTGAACAAGCTGACCAACTCTGTGGTTCTGGACATCCTCAGGATTTCAGGTCTGTATGTGTTTTAAGTTGTGCAACATTTGCATTTAAAGTCATAAGTATAGCTTTCAGCTGCTAATTGCTAAAGAAAGCTGTTGAAGACGGTTCGTTTTTTTGCACTGAGTGGTTAAATCACTTTGCTGCAGAATTAAAAATGCAGTTTCTTTAAATTGCTCAACTTTGAGGAGTTTCTCATCATTTTTGAAAATGTAAATGTCTTGACTTCCCGTACCCTGTGTAAAACCTAAACAGGCTCCATTTCCACTTTATCCCAGGTGTCCGCAGCGTGGCGAGCTGCTTCGTTGTTCCCATGGCAACAGGAATGAGCTTGACCCTGTGTTTCCTGACCCTTCGTCACCGGAGACCCAAGGCTCGTTACATCATCTGGCCTCGAATCGATCAGAAGTCCTGTTTTAAATCTATGATCACAGCAGGTGGTGACATCACACAAAATAAATATGACTAAATAATACAAGCAACTGATCTGATTATTTAGTATAATATGATTATCAGATTAATGTATATTAATGTATAATTGTATGTTTGCTTGTTTTTTCAATCTAATTATGTCTGCATACTTTGTGCTCTTTTAGCCATTCATATATCAAAACGTTCAGCTTGTTCAGCAGATGGACACTGTTCTGTTACTCTTAGCATAAACCTAGCGTTTTGCTACGTTTAGCCTTTAGACACTGTACTACTACTTTTAGCATAAACCTAGCCTTTTGCTACTTTGAGCTTCTAGTCACCTTTCTGCTACTTTTGACATAAACCTAGCCTTTTGATGGGTGATGTGACTTTTGGGTTTTGTAGCTTTCATACTTCTCAGTATATTTAACTTTATTCACATTTTCCCCATAGCAATACAGTAAGATCTCCTCAATTCTTTCCAAATCACTGTTTTTTTTTTATATCTATTTTTGCCTTTTTAGCTACTTTTAGCTTTTAGAAGCTGTTCCGCTACTTTTATCATACACCTAGCCTTTTGCTACTTTTAGCTTTTTGACACTGTTCTGCTATTTAGCATGAACCTAGCCTTTTGCTACTTTTAGCTTTTATACACTGTTCAGCTACTTTTAGCACACACCTAGTCTTTTGCTACTTTTAGCTTTTAGACTCTGCTCTGCTACTTTAGCATGAACCTAGCTTTTTGCTACTTTTGTCTTTTAGACACTGTTCTGCTACTTCTATAACAAACCTAGCTTTTTGCTACTTTTAGCTTTTAGACGCTGTTCTGCTATTTTAGCATGAACCTAGCCTTTTGCTACTTTTATCTTTTAGACACTGTTCTGTTACTTCTTTCACAAACCTAGCTTTTTGCTGCTTTTAGACGCTGTTCTGCTATTTTAGCATGAACCTAGCCTTTTGCTACTTTTAGCTTTTAGACACTGTTCTGCTACTTTTAACATACACCTAGTATTTTGCTACTTTTAGCTTTTAGACACTTCTCTGCTACTTTTAGCATGAACCTATATTTCTTCTACTTAGCTTTTAGACACTGTTCTGCTTCTTCTACCACAAACCTAGCTTTTTGCTACTTTTAGCCTTTAGACACTTCTTCTGCTTTTAGCATGAACCTAGTCTTTTGCTACTTTTAGCTTTTAGACAATGTTCTGCTACTTTTAGCATAAACCTAGCCTTTTTGCTACTTTTAGCTTTCAGACTGTTCTACTACTTTTAGCAAACACCTAGCCTTTTCCTACTTTTAGCATTTAGACACTGTTTTGCCTCTTCTAGCACAAACCTAGCTTTTTGCTACTTTTAGCTTTTAGACATTTCTTCTACTTTTAGCATCAACCTAGTCTTTTTCTAGTTTTAGCTTTTAGACACTGTTCTGCTACTTTTAGCATAAACCTAGCCTTTTGCTATGTTTAGCTTTTAGACAATGTTCTGCTACTTTTACCATAAACCTAGCCTTTTGCTATGTTTAGCTTTTAGACAATGTTCTGCTACTTTTAGCATACACCTAGCCTTTTGCTACTTTTAGCTTTTAGACAATGTTCTGCTTCTTTTAACGTTAACAATCCAGTTTTAGCTTCTTCAACAAGTTTCAGCTAAACCATTCAGGACTAAGCGGTCACACTGCATTTTCAAAATGTAATTAGTTTCTTTTTGGTGAATTGTTCTTTTTGAAGTATTTGTATGAAAGAGAAATGATCTAAGCATCCTTCAGTCATGAATGGATTTTTTACGTGTGTGTGACTCCTTTAAAGAAACATTTTTTTTAATTTTAAACCAGGTTTTGAACCCGTAGTCGTGGAGAACGTGCTCGAGGGCGATGAGCTACGAACAGACCTGGAAGCAGTTGAAGGAAAGATCGAGGAGCTCGGCGCTGAAAACGTCCTGTGTGTTCATTCCACGACATCTTGCTTCGCTCCTCGGGTCCCCGACAGGTAATGAAGCCGTTAGCCTTCAGGTGACATCACAGGCTTTTGCTTGTTGTTGTTGTTGGAAGGTTTTTGATTCTGTGCCAAATGAAGCTTTAAATAATGGTTCCCTTTCTATGTGTGTTTGTCATATTGTCGTCCAGGCTTGAAGAACTGGCCACTATGTGTGCCAAACACGACATCCCTCACATCGTCAACAATGCATACGGAGTCCAGTCATCTAAATGCATGCACCTCATACAGCAGGTACCTGCCAATCATACCCAATCTGTCTTTTAATAGCCTTTTTCAAAATTAGTCCAATATTTTCTTGCATGTGACACTTTGAGCTACAGTGTCACTTGTGTGTTCAGTGTCTGAAAGGTGGGTGGGTTAAATATTTTCTCCTCCGTCAGGGGGCTCGGGTGGGAAGAATCGACGCCTTCGTTCAGAGCTTGGACAAGAACTTCATGGTTCCAGTAGGGGGCGCCATAATTGCAGGATTTGATGAGTCTTTCGTCCAGGAGATCAGCAAAATGTACCCAGGTGAGTGAAAACAGTATACATGCACAGAACTGTTCATTCTTCTTTTTATGCTTCCATGTCAGTTTTTTATTGGTTAAATTAAGGTCACATGTAAGAAAGTGTCTGAACTAAAGGATGAAGCAGAAACTTCTTTGAGTCAATCTTGACATTTAATAATTTCTCTGTTTTTAACGTCACTGCTGCTCCATATGTAGTAACATAATTGAAAGGCATTGCTGCTCAGATATCTGTGTGCAGCTGAATCTGCTTCTCTGGGGCTGGCGGTTCTGTGAGGCTACGGAGAACATTTGAGCCCTACAACGCATTCGAAGAAACTATGTTTAGTATAATATCTGTTAGAGTCGTCAGGTTGCACAAAATGGATTCTTTCTGAGGAAAGGAGTAGAGTTCCCTCCGAGCGACAGAGAACGACCTGAATGAGAGTAAACAAAAAACAAGATTTGATTCTTGTTGGTTCTTGTTACTTTGTGCTGCGGAAAGTTGTTTGTATTTTTTTTTTTTTTATTTTTTTAGCTGTACTCAAGAAGTGTTAAAATTTGAGCTGCTCTGTGTTGATTTCTCATTTATCATAAACTTTTATGCAAATTAAGAGCTATTTGGTGGTCTTGTCATAGAGTTAATGTTTTTCCTGAACAAAAACATGAGCAGCTTTGTGGCAAGAAGCATCATTGTTCTAAAAATGTGACCCGTCACATCCATAGCGTGGTATATTCATTCAACCTTTATTTATACAGGTTAGTCTCATGGAGTCATGAGGACTCATTTTTAAAAGAGACCTGTTTTAGACGACAACATCAAATTTATAAATCATAAGTAAAGTGTCCATGTTTTGTTCAGAGGTGAGCTTTCAGAAATTAATCCGGTCCATCTGAACCAAAGGGGCGGAGCAAAACTCTGTTGGGCTGAAACAGAGTGATGCATTCAAAGAGTGTCGGACGTCTCCCTCGTGTCATTTACTGTAATGAATTAACTCACTTTGGTGACCCTCTTTGTGGTTAACTACTTTTAACTAATTTTTTCAGTTCAGCACTACAGTAGTCCCTCGCTACTTTGCGGTTAATTTTTCATGGACCCTCTCTATTGTGGCTTTCAAAATAAGATTGGACATGACACACAGTTGGCTGATTGATGGATGAGCCGCACGATCGGCTTGGACTTTTTCTAAAAAATAAAATATTTTAAATTATTTAGCGTCTACTGCACCTGTGTGCAGCCCACAGCTGAAGGAGAAGCTCCCTCCTGCAGCGTGTCAGATCTCTGCTCTGCAGCGGCGAAGTGGGCGTGTCCGAGAGCGCTGGCAGATGGCAGAGAGTTGAGATCATGACATGCTCTTTTATAGTGTTTAGAGTTTAGAAACATTGTTTAGAATATTGCAAGAGTGTGGGAAGAGCTTAAAATACCTTTTTGTATATAAATGGTAAAATAAACTACTACTTACGTTTTGTATTACTATTCCTACTTCATGGTTTTTCACTTATCGCAGGGCTTCAGGGAACAGATCCCCTGCGATAAACGAGGGACTACTGTATACCTAAACTAATGAAAAGCCCTACCTCTGCTGAGTCGTGTTTCCTTACAGCTATAAGCAGTGATGACTTCATGAGATTCTTTATAAATACAATTATTTCAGTTAGGGAGAAAAATTCAAACCATTCTTCCTACTATCGCCTCTGGTTCCTTGTCATATGAGGCAATTTTAAAAATGTCACTAGAACCTGATTTATGTTTGGACTATTTTTGTCCTGTTGAGCTCTCTGAATTGTCTAAAATAATAGCTTTATCCAAACCATCCACATGTCTGCTAGATCCCTTCCCAACCAGACTATTTAAAGCGGTATTTCCCTTAATTAATAATCACATTTTGGATCTCCTTAACTTGTCTCTAATGAATGGTTACGTACCACAGTGCTTTAAGATAGCTGTAATTAAACCTTTACTTAAGAAACATAATCTTGATATTCAGCTACGGTGCATTGGTAGAAAGATTAGACATTTTTTCATTTTGTCAAAATATGATGAATAAATACCTTTTTATATAGGAATGTTTTGAAGCACTTTACAGATCAGTACCCACAACTAACATTTTTCCTCCCTAAATTTTCACTTTGAGATTTCCTCTTTCAAATGACATCAAGAATTCTTCCTTAGAAAATATAAAAAAGAAGATTCAGACCAATTTCCCAGGGTTTACCCTGATTAGCAAGACAAATCAAGCCGTATCTCTGAAACCGCTCGTCAGGGTGATCTGCGTATCAAAATGTAGCTTAAAAGGACAGAAATTACAAAATGTGCTTAGTTTAGTTTCACCAAATACGATTTAATTCCTGATTTGATGTGAAGGGTCACAAATGAATATATATATAAAGACAGAAAAGGCTAAAGTTTCACCAATACCAAAAGTCATTGCACCCTTCTCCTGAACGAGCTGAACGTTTTGAGATATGATTTGTTGAAATAGCACAAAAACTGTGGAACGAGAAAGATGCTGAAAAACGTACGGAAGAAAAATGGATCACAATAGTGTGCATGCTTCAACAATAGTGTGGATGCTTCATAAACCTTCACACAATTATTAACCACGTGGAAAACTTTCAAATCAACCTTGGTGTGGATATGTTCACCCAAATGCAGGCAGTGTACTGCCAATAATCTTTTCTTAAAGTCTCTGGTTGTTTTGTTTTATTTAGGTCGAGCTTCGGCTTCACCGTCTCTTGATGTCCTCATTACCCTTCTCACCCTGGGCGCCAGCGGCTATAAGAAGTACCTATCAGAAAGAAAGGTGAGGGCATGCTACATGTGAGGACAAGATAAAGAAAGGCAGGTAGCCCCATATCTGGGTTCAACTGCGATGTTTGCTTGATGTTTTATGGCTGATATGTGAAATGTTGTTTTAAATGTGACGCGTCATGGTTTCCTCCTGAAAAGTCAACAGCAGTTTAGAATAGTTGTGAAGAATCTGTGACGTTGCTGCTGTGTGTTCGGTACCCCCACCATCCTCACTGTTGGGGGTGATCCTTGATTCACGCTGGCAGCGAGCTCTGTGAAGGCAGGGGTACAAATAAAAAAAGATGGAACTAATTCAGGAGTTTTACAGCTCACCGGTGTGAGATGGTGTCGCCCACGTTGCAGCATCAACACACCTTTTCTCTGCCTCTCTTTGGAACTGAAACCACATGAAAACCAGCTGATGGGCTCACATCGAAGGTCAGATACTTCCGTTCTGAACCGTAAGTTCTGAAGATCAACAAGTCAACTGGCCCTTTTTTAAAGTAAATTAAACTTTAGATGACATGGCATTCCATAAAACGCTTTATTTTATTAAAATAAACTAAGACTAAAAGCAGAAGCAGTGTGTGAAAAATTCAGTAAGAATTTTTGCATTGGTCCGTGCACAGCTTTATATTAACATTTTACTGATCTTTGTTAGAAAACTAACAAACAAAAAAGACGTAGGAGTCACATTTCAGCCTCTGCAGGCCACATTTGGCATGTTTAATGTTACAGTTATAACTAACTAGACAGGAATGATTTATTTAGAGGGATTTTTGGGTGAAAAGCACCATATTTTGTCAAAATCGAGCAAAATATCAGCACAAACATCTCATGCCAACTGTCAAGCACAGTACAGTAGTCCCTCATTTATCACGGAGGATCCGTACCATGAAGCCCCGTGATAAGTGGAAAACTGCGAAGTAGGAATAGTAGTACAAGTGGTAAGTTAGTTTATTTTAGCATTTATATATTTATAAATCTATCTCTATCTTTCTATATATTTATGTATATAAAGGCGTTTTAAACCCTTCCCACGCCCTTGCAATATTCTAAACAATGTTTCTAATCTCTCAACGCTCTTAAAGAGCACATAAGGTCATTATTTCAGCTCTTTGCCATCTGCCAGCTCTCTTGGCCACGCCCACTTCTCGGCTGCAGAGTGGCGCTATGGCACGCTGCATGAAGAAGCTTCTCCTGCAGCTTGGGCTGCACACTGGTGCTAAATAATTAAATAATTTAAAATAATTCATTTTTAAATAAAAATTTCATGCCGATCGTGCGGCTCATCCATCAATCAGCCAATTGTGTCATGTCCAGTCTTACTTTGAGAAACCGCGATGGAGCGAGTCCATGAAAAACGACCTATGAAGTAGCGAGTGTCTACTGTACTTTGCAACGCAAGAAACTAGATGTTCAGCTAGTTGTTGTAGTAATAAAACACTAATAATAAAGTAGAACACTAGTTTTGCTATTGGTTTGAATACTTTTACAAAATATGTCAAAGTAGACATCACAATTTACATATAACATAAATATTTTAATAAAGAAAAAATAAATTAGTGAGTTTTTATGTGGGTGCACCGCATCGCTCTTTGCAACTTCTTCGCCTCCCATCACCACCACCACCATTAAACCCCACCCAACATTTTGTGATGTTTATGCCTCTACTCTTTCATGGATGTGCAAAACATTTGGGCGGGGCGAAGGGTCCAGCCTAAAAGAGCTGTGCATAAATACATTTCAATAAACTGAAGTTATGTAAAGATTTAGGTTTGTTCCTGTTTTAAGTGCAGAATGACTCCATGTGTTGGGCCATGCTGTTCATCGGACATATTTCTTTATTTTCAAAGCCATGGAGCAGAAAGAGGGGCTGCTTCCTGTTACTGTACCTCCATGAAACCCATCCTCTATGATCAGGAGCTTTGAGGCGTATTGATTTCTCCTGGTTTGTGATGTGCATAATTAATGTAGAGCATCAGTTCTTCTGTAGTGTCTGCAGATCCCTCACATCTGTCCCACGGAGGCGAGCTTTTAATAATTCAAATCGTTATTCCGTACCATTTGCAGCCGCTTGAACCCCTAATTTAGATACATTTAAACTAATTAACAGAAGAGCATGTTTGTTGTTGTGGCTGAACTTCGCTTTGTCGCACACTGAGGTATTGTCACCCCCCCCCCCTCCTCTGGGAGAAATAATGCCGCTCTTTGTCATTGAGGGAACAAGGGACACTTGGACACTCTTGAAGTGGTCCGACGCTGTTTGTTTTCGACTCTTGACAGAGAAAATATTCTTTCTAACCGAGAAGAAATGAGTCAGCGGAGTGAGACACACACCCGCTCCTCCTTGTAATGCTTCGCCGGGGGAGGTGGGGGGCGGCCGTGGGGGTGGGGGTGGGGGATATGGCCCTGGTAGCCAGCACACAAATAAAGAAAAACAAAACCCTGCAGTTTGTTGCAGAGCTTGTGTTCAGAGCATCTGTGTCCTAAACACCCCCCCCCCCCACTTTTTTTTGCCTTTGATTCAGTCTTCACACACACACATAGACAAGCAAAGCACTTTGTCAGCAGTTTTTATACACACGGGTGTTCAAATCTCTGCCTAAAGGTAGGCGTTCATCTTCTCTTGCTCCTCTAATTGATCCCGGAGGTGGAAGTGTGATGCAAGCAAACATCCAGGCCAGAAGGAGAGCCTCCTGGCGGGAAACAGTCAGACAGACGGGGGTTCTGGACATGATTTAACCCTGTAGAACGCACAATGCACTGTAAACCTTTTTCTGTTTATATACAGCTGTGGCAGCACATCCTCAGCTCCCCCCTCCTGTTCTGTATCTTTATGTGTGTGTCTGCATGGCCTGCAGGAGATTTATTCGTTCCTGGCTCAGGAGCTGAAGACTCTGGCTTCTGCGCATGGGGAGAGATTGCTTCACACCCCACATAATCCCATCTCTCTGGGTGAGCCCCAAGTGCTGATCACAGACCAGCAGGTCGTCTCACTGTCATTTATATACTGTTGCAGAGTTTGTCTTTGCAACCTTGTGTTTCCATTTTATTAAGTGTGCATGTGTTGGGTGTGTCTCCTTTCCAGCCATGTCTCTAGATGGTCTGCAGGCGTCGAGCGATCAGGCGGTGACTCAGCTCGGCTCCATGCTGTTCACCCGACAGGTGTCAGGAGCCAGGTAGGAGACGGTCGCAAGGGCTGGGTTCAGTTCAGTTTATTTATAAAGCACCAAGTCACAACAGAAGTCGTCTCAGAGCACTGATCAGAAACATTCACTTACATTATAAAAGCTGATTAGTAAAAGTTCTCTGTCTAAGGAAGTCAGCAGACTCATTGAATCTTCACTTCGTTGCGGTCTCCCATCCAGAGCAAGCACAAAGGCAACAGTGGAAAGGAAAAACTCATTTTAACAGGAAGAAACCTTTAGCAGAACCAGTCTCAGGACGAGCGTCCATCTGCTTCGACTGGCTGGGTTTGACAGGACAGGAAGGAGAGACAAACAAACACAGAATGACAGGTCCAGGTTCAAGGTTCTTTGTCATTCACATCACATGTGGTACATGAGGTGGAACGAAATTGTGTACTCAGGGTCCCAGTTACATACAACAGTAACAAAAATATAAAGTGTAAAAAGAAACAGTAAATAAGGATCTAAGATATAAACTAAGATATACGCTAAACGAACACCAAACGGTACGCTAAAAGTGCTAATGCTGCTTTTCCAACCTGTCCCGGTCCACTCGTCGCTCCTCGAGTTTGAATACTGGTAATTGAAAATGGCGGATCAGATGTTGTGAAATTTCTCAAACAGCCAGTAACTCCACCTCCTGACCAATCAGTGACCGACAGTGTTCTGATGTCACGTTTTGGTACGTGCTCGCCCCGGGTGGAACCACAGAGCCAAGGGTTCTGAAAAAAGGGACCAGTTCTACGTACCGTTACTAACGGAAAAGCCTTGGAACCATGCCAACGGAAAAGCCTTGGAACCATGCCAAGTCGAGTCGAACCGTGCTGGGTCTGGGACAAACGGTGGAAATGATTTTTAAAACGTTATATGTTTTTTTTTTAAAATCAGTGAAGATTTTAAAAAATAAATAAATAAACGGTGCTTGCTTTATCATGAAATCCTGTTGTCATTTTAATGACTGTTAAATAATCTGTTTAAGTTTCTCAGCTGAAAAATCATAAAAAGACACAAAATTATTGGATCTATCAGGAATATTTCCCTCAGACATGTTTAAAGAAGAGATACAGCCTTTAGCTCAACTTTATTCTAACCCACAGATGTACAAATCACAAAACAAGAATTAAACTTTAAAGCAAAGTTTTAAAAAAAATAATTTGTGAACAAGAAATAAAACCACATATCTAAATTGAACAATAAAAGTACACACAATATGAGTGCAAATACATCAAATGATGAAGAAAATGTATAAAAGTTTAAATATAGATGTTTTTGTAGAATCTGGTTCATCAAAGATTTAATGGTGAATTAAAGTTCATTAGCAGGATTTATATATAGTTTAATTTGATCATTTTAATAATCTGTATTCTTTTTAATTTACCAGAAACTTCAAAATAAATTCTCACCCTGTACTGAAACTTGTTTCCAAGGTATCCCTGTCACAGCTGGTGAGGCGGGTGATGTCAATTTGAACCCCGCCCACTGGAACCAGTACTGAAAGCATAATGGAAACGCAACGTGGACCGTACCGAGTAGAGTAGAACCGTGCTGTACCGGTACTAAAGGTACTAATGGAAAAGGGTCATAAGATATACGCTAGTCACTGATAGTGCAAAACAATACACCAAACAGCAGCACGAACATGAGTCTTTGTGGGTTGATGAGTATGAATGAATGAATACAGCAGCATGAGATCAGCAGCATGGATAATCAGCAGCACATATCACCAATCAAAGTTGCATTACAGTGATTTTTTTGTGTGTACACCTTATTGGAAGAAAGACAAAAAAACACACGTTAAGGATATAAATAATTACAAATACAAAACAGGTAGAAGTATATACAAGTAATGTGCCTCAGAAATGGGAGAGGACAAGCAAATGGGAAAGGAAAGATTATTTTATCTTGTCTGAGCAGAGGGGGTGATGTTTCCAACAAAAGGGCCAATAAAACGTCAGACGTCCAGGAAATGATGAGTCAGAGTAATCTGGGTGCGCGATAACGACTACAAATCATGTTTCAAGGAAATTTAATGATGCTTGTCATGACATGTATCTAAAGAAACATTTTGTCTGTGCTTGTAGCAGGCACTGACAGTGTGGATCTAATGCTACATAGGCCCTGCAACAGATGCCTTTAAAGGGATAGTCTGGTCATTTTTGATGTGATGTTCTGTCATAAAGTTATTATTGGCCATTAGACTGGTTGGCAGGCCGCAGACTGATGAAGCCTTCGGGATGGGAGCCAAAACGTTTCGCACTTAAAGAAACTCGTCCAGATGACATGGTTGAACTTTTTGTTCTTGTTATCTACCCAGATGATTGAGCTTACAAACCTTTTTTTCTAACATCAGACCAGACTGAATCATTTATTCAAATAAATCAAATCTTTTTTTGTTTGTTTTTGAACATTTTGGAGGAACGTCACATTCTTTCATCAAAGTGAACACTTTCCAGAATCTTAAAAAAAAAATCTTCTTGCTTCTGTTGCATATTTGATCAGATGAGCTGTCGAGACCTTTTAGATTTGTTGCCCTTTTATAAACGGAGGTTCTTTTACTTTACATACTAAAGAGAGAGAGTTGTTTCTTGTCCACATCACCATCCGGCAAAGCTGCTCATTACAGTGCGTTTCTCCACCCTTAATGGTTGCTCATAGGCACTGTGGCCGGTAATTGATTTCACACTGAAGTGAGCCTGAACTGTGCTGACAGAGCTGCAGCCCTGCCACATTAAGTAGGAGAATTTTTATGGCGTTACAGAGTTTGAATCTGAAACTGCAGCTCAACAAGCATCTCAGAAGTGACTTTTGTCTTTTTGTTTTAGGCTTTGCTTTATAAAGAACCACAACAACCAAAAAAAAAAAACTAGGTTTGAACAATAATTAAATGACACAGCAGTGTTGCGACTTGTACTTGGCAGGGTACAGCAACAGTTCATCATGTAAAGTATTTATCTGCAGTTTAACACTGTAGCTGCATTAGAGTTGACTGGATTCTAGAGTTGTGCCACTCAAGGTGCATGTTGGAGTAGCTCTGTTACATTCATTCTGAGATTTTGCTTTTGAAAACTTCAATTTCTCTTTTTTCTCTATGTAAATCACTTTTTTTGAATGAATATTTCATCTGATTTTGGATGCTGTGCCGTTGGAAGGATTTTTACTGAAACTTTGTTACTTTTGGACATTTGTTATGATGCGTAACTATAACAACAAGGTGGTTTTCTATAGCTGGGAACTGCTGATTAACATTTCAAAAACGCAAATAATATCTCAGCTACAGACCCAAATCCCAAATGTGTTGAAAAGGAGGCGCCGTGGATGCATTCCCGTCTACCTGGAGGCAGTGCTCGAGTGCCAGACTGCAGAGATCTTGGAGATGGTGGGAAATGCGGCTTGTGACAGTGGGAGAACCGAGATCGTCCCCCAGCACCTGCAGTTTTTTTTTTTTTTGCGGTGACGAGGGGCTCGGCAGGCTGCTGGGGGGAATGGCCATCGCTCGGGGAGGAGTTCTGCCCGGCATTCAGGCGGTCCTGCTGCCCAAGAGGACCGAGAGGTCTGTTGGATCTGGGTGGATGGATCGTCATCTATAGCCAGTTTCTTCGGATCCGCTGTGGGATGGACTGCTGCAAGAGATCCTTTCTGCCCACAGCCATCAGCATCTAGAACAACTCTAACGAAGCCAGGATAAGCTACATCAACAATTAATTTTCCCTTTGGGATTAATAAAGTATTTTTGAATTGAATTGCTCTGACCTGGATGTTGGATACTAACAATAATTGGTGTATATATAAAGTAAGTCACTTTTCCCCCTTAAACATTGACCAAAGAGATGATTCAGACGACAGCCAGTCAGCATTGTATTGAAACAAATACACAATTGACCAGGGGTGTCCAATCCTGGTCCTCGCAGGCCACTAACCTTGAACCTGCTCCAGCACCCTTGATTTGAATCTTGAATCAACAGGTGATTAACAGGCTGTGAGGTAGTTCAACCTTTGAATCAGGAGTGTTAGAGTAGGGGAAACAAGTTCTCATGACAGTGGGCCAACTTTGAGGACCCCCAAAATTTGAAATTTTCACTAATCTCTGATTTTGATGTGGCAAGAGCAACAGAGACTATCAAATGAGACCAACCAAACTCTTGCTGAGGAGCTTGCATCCAAGAGCAGATGTCAGATTTTTGATTTGAGTTAATGTATTGGTTGACATTTTGACCCCCTTTTGTAACTGAGTTCAACACCCCAGATCTAGATAAACCCTTGACACAACTAAAGTAGCTTTCCCTTTAATGTTTAGCAATAAAAGTGTAAACCAACCTGCAGTTGTCCCCAATCCAGGTCTTCAATGGCCACTGTCCTGCATGAATTAGATCAGGGCTATTAAACTAAATTGCTCAGGGGGCCACGGTTACTGAAAACCAAGAGCTCAGGGGGCGGACATCGAGCAGTTATTGTCATTAAGTTTTTTTTACCGTTTAAAATCTAGTTTTATTTAAAAATGAACCCATTGGTGGGCCAAACCGAGTTCATCCGTGGGCCTGATTTTGACCTGGGCCGCCAGTTGAATATCGCTGTTTTAGATGTTTCTCTTCTCCAACACGCCTGATGTGAATGAATGAGAAGTTAACAGACTTCTGCAGAACTTGAAGACCTGCTGAAGAGCAGAGAAACATCTAAAACATGCAGGACAGTGGTCCTAGAGGACCAGGATTGAGGACCACAAGGATGTCATGTTATCGAGAGAAGAAAAAAAAAGCTGGTTTGTAGACTTTTGGTTTATACTCTCTCAAGCCATGACATTAGTGAAAGAGGCGACATCCTGGCTAGGCTCATGTTTGGACGGAAAAGTCTTATGAACAATATTTTGCATTAGAATCTGTGTTTAATTCCACTTGAGTGTTTAGCAAAGCGACAAACAGCCAAGACAACTGTTTATGGTCTGTGTGGCTCTTTGAATCAGGGGAACAAGAATACGTTTCATTTTAGTCACGATGCTACAACCTTCCATAATCCTTGTTTATCCCCCTCGTGTTTCCAGGGTGGTGCCACTGGGCAAGGAGCAGATTGTCAACGGACACACATTTCGCGGGTTCATGTCGCACTCCGAGTCGTACCCCTGCCCTTACCTCAACGCTGCTTCTGCTATCGGCATCACTCAGGACGACGTGACCCTGTGCATGAAAAGGCTCGACAAGTGCCTGAAGACGCTGAAGAAGGACGGGAACGCGGCGAGGAGTTGCTCCAAGGTGTCTGAAGTGAACCAAGAAGAGACTGAAGAAGGACTGAGCTGAAACTTGACCTGATAAAGTCTGACTCTGCTGCCTACTTTTTACTTGATTTAGACCCAATTATCGGTACTTTGTACTGGACTGTTAATCCAGCCTGTCTCTGACTGTCAGTGACTGACAACAGGTCGTGATTTATTTGTGCGCAAGTTCATTTTAAACCAAAGAGAAATGTGTTAAAAATAGATGGAGTCTATCATTTCCAAAGGATCGTGTTTGCATTTGTTAAATAAAATGATCAAATATCTTCACTGTGGAGTTGTCTTAATACCAAAGTTCATGCTCAGTAATCCAGGTATAAAATCCAACAGTATTCAGTCAGGTCATCTGGACGGTTTCTTTTTTTTGTGCTGAGACGCTTCGTCCTTCATCCAAAGGACTTCTTTAATCTGAGGAGCCACCAAACAAAACTGAGTCCCACAAACAGCATACTCCATAGTGGGAAAAAAAACAGTTTGCTGGTGCTAAGATGGCCTCTGGGGCCCGTCCACCCCTGTTTGGTGGCTTCTCAGACTGAGGAAGTCCTTTGGATGAAGGGCAAAATGTCTCATCACAAAAAAATGAAACCGTCCAGATGACCTCACTGAACATTGTTGTATCTTTGTCTTAATCTTCCTGCTTCCCTTGGGTCAAAATGACCCAGACTTCAGTCTTGGGGGGGGGGGGGGGGGGCATTTTAACTCGTTATCCTAAAAGCACATATGGCTCATCTTTTCCCTGTCAGTGATACACAAACAGTTTGTAACGTTGTCTACATGATTTGTAACATGACTCCAGTGATCTCCGACCCATTAGCTCCATCCAAGACCCCGTTCAGTGGATTAGCTCGTTTATTTACGGATCACGTGAAGCAGATAATCAATGGAGTGCACCAAAAATAGCCCACTACAGCGTTCCGTGGAGGAAATGGGCTCAGTTGGTCTTTTTGCCAAACAAGCTGGACAAAACACAAAAAGACGAATATGGTTTTATTGGATTTTATATAAGATTAAATTTCTTCATGGTCAACATTCATTCAAGCCCGAACCAGAGTCAGCTATTTAAAGAGAGACAGTAGATAAGAATGAAATGCTTAATCCTAATTTGAGCAGAACCAAGATTAAAGTGGATTGCTGCCTTCTTAAATTCATGTGAACGCTATTTTCTAAATGTTTATATTGCTGTCAGTTCAATTCACAGTAAGTTTCATATGATTCTGTGGTTGTGCGCCAGCTCATATTTCCTGTGCAGCATGCGGCCCTTTCTGCAGGAATAACTACAGTAATGCAGAATTGTTGTGGATATAAAGTTTTATAAAACATTGTTGGTGTATCGGTAGCAGATGCACGTTTGATTCAGCCACATTTTTAACAACCCCGACAGAAAAGAAGCAGAAAAAGTATTTTATATGAAACACATTTCTGGTTCAGGAAAACACACACCTGTTTGTTTCAAATCAGCTGTGTAGAAAAACCACTGACTGAGAACGTCTGCACCAGGGAGAGACGAGAGCTGCTGCCAAGGTATGGCAAGCAGTTGTGCTGTAGAATCAGTGCTTTTATTTGTGTATTTATTTGATTTCCCTAAAGCCAAGCATGACTTTCTCAGACATTTAGCACTTGTTTGGCTGAGAAGCATTTTTTGAACGTTTTTCCACTTTTTTTAATATATTTTAACACTGGGAGATGTTCAGTTCTTTACTTTTTGTTTCACATTATGTCAAGGTCAAATTAAATGAAAAATACAGCCATTAATTATTTATTTTAGTTTTTTTCCCCCCTAATGTCTTAATCCAATGCTTTTCTGGAGTTTAACAGTCTTTTTTTAACACTTGGCATGTGGATTACTGTTTAAACTCAAATTGGATGTAAAAGACCGTAAAATTATATAATTTTTAATGAATATTGAAATTAACACCAGACAAAACCTGACTTGCTGCTACTTAAAGCCTTCCGTCTAACAAGGGTGCTTTTTGTTGTTGTTGTTGTTTCTGCTTATCGAAGAGTTAATGTTTATTAAATTAAAAAATAAAAATAAAAAAGACTACAAAAAACAAGAAGCTGACATTTGTTTTTCATTCTTGTATCAAACTCGTACTTTTCCATGATTTAGGCGTACCTCTACTATAAAATGTTTGAGACTGAAGTTCAGTGCTTAATCTGAGCCAGACTGTGCCGGAACAGGATCCGGGAACTCTTATTTTGACAGGGTGCGTTCCGGTCACTTTGCTTGCATCCAGTAAAACTCAGGCTTAAAAATAATAAAGTTATGGACAAATTTGACTGCCTTGAATGAATAAACCTATATTGGATATGTACTGGTAATCTGAAAATAATTACATAAACACTAATTTTAAACACAACAGCCACTTACGAGCTTCCTAATATCACATGCAATCTGCCTCTTCAAGCATTTCCACTTCTACCCTTAAAAAAAATTCCGCCCCTAAAAGTACAGTCATGGGCAGTTTAATAAAAAAATATAATAATCAAACAGCACAACTAAATTGCAAATCAGTTTTACAGTTTAAGTTGATAATAAAATTTAGATCATTTATTAAAAAAGGAGAGAAGTGTTTGATGGGTAATCACTTGACGTGACGTCGCATATCTAAACAACAGCGCCAATTTGTCAAAATAACAGCAATTAAAATGTTGAAAAGACAGTTCAATTTACTTTCATAAAAAAAATAAAATAAATAAAACTCTTCTCATTGTACAATTAAACATCCGAGAATTGAAGCACTTGAAGGCAGTGGCGATGGAGATAGTACTCAATGTGTAGGGGTGAGGGTTAGGATGCTTGAGAGAAGTGGAGTGTGCTCTGCTCACACAAGGAGAGAGACTTATAAACATATATGTTCAACCACTCATTAAAATATACCAGAATGCAGGAAATGGCATCTACTTTATTCAACATTTTCTGGGGGAGGCCCTCCCCCGCCTTGCTGTTTGCGTTCCGGCATCGTTTGGTTTACATATTTAGCACTGATGAAGTTGTTTTAAGACAACAGCAGCAACCCACTTTAATCTGAGCTCCACTCTAACTAGCCTTTAGCTTGTTAATCCGGATGGTCAAAGAGCCATCTATAACAGGTAAGATATTAATTGTTCACTTTCCACAGAACCCCACTTCAAAAGATCTGACATTTCCCTTGAAAACGTTACATCTACTCTGGATTTTGATTAGCACTGTCCTCGTTTTTCTGTGTGTCCTGCTCGTGTGTCTGCTATTTCCTAATCTTAAACATATAGGGGGTCCTCCAACTGTATGGAAACCAGTTATCTGGGCCTTGATCAGCGTTATCTGCAGGTGCTTCCTCCACTTGCAGCCATCAGGGGGTTCAGTTGGGAGCAGATGTTTATTAGAAGGGACCCACTCAGCAGCCTTTAAAAGTGGGCTGGACTCAGATACTGTAGTTCTGCTGTTGGATCAGCACATTTTCACTGTTCCCAGGCTGGACTGAAACATTTATAAACCATAGTGGAAAAACACTGGCAGCACTGGGACAATGCAGCACTCTAAAAAAAACGGCAAAGGGAGTTTCCAAAAATGTAAATAAATTATTTCAGGGCGTTAAGTGTTGCTCATTAGCAAAAGTGAAGGAATTGTTTTGCTACACGTTATGAAGAAAAAGCTTTGGAATATATTCTAGATTAAATATTAATATGTAGAAACTCCAGTAATTGTTTATTCTTTGTCAACAGTTGCACATTTGCTAATAGTGATGCAACTCGGTTTTGAATTTAGGACCTCTTATTGTAGATGAGTGATCAACGTGACTTTCTACCACTTCTGTTTCCCTCCAACCCAAGCAGTTGTTTACCTTCATCACCAAAAGCTCTTCTGTAATGTATTCCTCTCCAAACCTCTCTGTACACGCTCAGTCGGATCGCTAAGCACCCGGGGGGATGTTGCTGCGTGACAAATGGCCCTTCAGTCCTGGTTCCTAAAAACCGTTGAGAGGACTTCAGCGGTGATGGAGAGCCAGAGACACACAAAAACAGGGAACTCATTTGTTTTGGTAGAACATAAAGAGACAGACTGGTTAGTACAAAGCAAAATGTAGGGCTAAAAGGATTTTATTTTGCAAGTTTGATTATGTTTAAAGCTTTTTCTTGCCTTTGGATAACTAAATAAACATATAATTGGTCATATATACCCAACCGTTTGATGAGAGTGTGAAATTTTGAATCTAAAGTATGGCAAGTTGTTGTTGCATATAATCCAACCACTCATTTCCGATTACATCCTGCTAGTTCCTGGATCCCTACTAGTCCATATAATGCTCTTGCTGGCTTAAAATGAAAGATTTCTAAGCAACTAATAAAAATCATTAGCATTTATTATTTAGACTTGACCATCTGTTTTTGTTTGTGTTTTTATCTGTTTATTTATTTATAAAAGAACTTTGTATATATTTCTAACACCATTCTTTCCAGGACAAATGCAAATTGCTTATTGAGTTTAAAACTAAGATGACCTATGAAAAGATGGCCATAAATGCCATTTTGGTCAAAATTTTAATATAACTGTTTAATTTCAGAGAATGTGTGGGAATGACTCCCAGCTATTGCCACATCAATTTTTAGCTCAATATCTAAATTAACGGAGTTACAACAATTTCTGTTTTATAAGGTTGGTTAGCTGTAGCAATCAGAAATAGTATTAGATGTCTGAAATGTTCCTCTTTACTATAACTATTTTTTCAAGTATCTTGGAGATTTTGTTTTACTGTTATATGAAAAATTGGTTTTCCATTTAAAAACTTAATATGATATCTGTGTTGTTGAAGGAAGTTACAAATTGCATTCAGTATGTCTGAAATGTTATGCTCAGCTAGGCAGAATTGTGTTTTAACATACTGGAAATATCTTGTTTTAGTATTATATGACCAACTGGATTGCCATACTCTGTTTGATATTTCTTAATAGCAGATTTTGGACTAGACAAGTAGCATTCTTAATATTCTCATTTTATTTTAAAGCTAAATAACTTAATTTTGAACATCTGCTTGGTAAATCAAATTATATGATACATTAACTTGCCTTAGTTTTGCTGTTGGAAATGCTTGTCGATAATACAAATGGCATGCTGGATAACGAAAATGTTATTTTCAACAGAACTGAATAGTCAACATTTATCGGGAAGATCTTGTCTGACTTATATGATAAATTGGCTTGCCTTAAACACTGTCCATGGTGCTGCAGTTTATCGCCTCAGATCTCCCGAGAGGAGAAATCTACAGCTTAAACGTTCTCAGTCAAACATTTTAACCTCACGTGAACCTTCTGTTTGTGAGTTATTTGATGTTAAGTCATTTACCTACATCCAATAAAACTGAAATATTAGGTGGAGCTATCGTAAAAACTTGGAAAAATTAATTTGTGTTAACCTTTATTTCTTGTTTTTTTTCTTTACAAGTGCAGAACTGAACTGACCGCCAGCTATCCAAAATGGGTTAAAATATTCAAATGTCTATTTACAGCTAACAATATCTCTGAAAACAGCTTTGAAGACCCTACCTGCCCTTATTAATGTCTTATTTTTGTTTAGAGTGGATGTTGAACCAACAGTTACCCACCTGGAGCCCCCCCCCCCCCCCCCTTCTTTTTTTCTTTCTAAATAAATAATGAAAGCGTCGGGGCTGCAGCTGATTTGCTGATGTCAGGGAGCCAGTGCAGCATTTCATGGTGCAGGGTGGAAACACGCTGTCGGTGCTGTCTGCTTCCATCCCTGCTCTGTCTCTCTCACTCTCTCTCTCTCATCATCAAACCAACAAAACTACAGACACACATGCGAGCCCGGCAAGAAACATGCTGCCAGCTCTCAGGATTTGGGCTTTTCTGTGTGCATCATTGTGCTTCCTGTGTCCACCGGCTCATCTGAAAAAGGCTTTCCGATGCCCTTCAACATGCAGCTGCTCCAAGGAGTCCATCATCTGCGTCGGGTCCTCCTACATCCTCAGGATGGCCCCAAATGAGATCAGCTCTTTGTGAGTAGCCTAGACCCCTGTTTATGGCATTTGCTTCTCTTTAAATTAAACTGTATCTACTAAACAACACCAGCGCGTGAGTCAACTGAGCGCCGCTTGGGTCTATTTTTACAGTGCAGCCTGTAAATAAGAGCCGATGCTGATCTGTATTGATCTTTTGGTTTGCTGGTTTCTGCTTTCTTCTGTTCAGGAGCATCGTCAATGGGACTTTTACTGAGGTCAAAGAAGCAATGTTTGCCCACATGCCCACCCTCCAGCTACTGTAAGAACACCTCCTTTAATGCATCAGACAAGATTTGAGTCGTTTATACTCACTCATCATCATGCATTAATGATAACAGGCTTTTAAGCCGCTGCAGCACCTGCATGTTCAGCAGCTAAGTTTTTGTTGTGCCTAACTACAGCTGCAGTAATGTGTCCTGCATACTAAAGCAAGTGGGGCTCTGTGGAAAGGTTATGAGCAGTTAATATCTTACCTGTTGTGGATAGTTCTTTAAACGGCCTCAGCTTGGAGACAAAGAGTTTAATTTGCTTAGTTAAATGCTAGATTCATTGAAGCCACAGTAGATTGCTGCTGTAATAATAATTTAAAAAATCCTGTCCAAATTTCTTCAGTAACTCTTGTGAACGCAAAACGTTTACACCTCCCAACAGTTTTGCATTATGCAGTTACTCCAACGCAGAAATATTATATTTCTGTCAAAAGTATCCCAGGCTCAGGTTTGTTGTATTTATCATATGCAGATCAACACAAGGTCAACAGTGCAATGAGGATGAGAAGAACCGTCTCGACTCGCCAAAACAACAACAAATTATTTTTTTTTTTTTTTTTCATTTAGCCTTTATTTATCCAGGTTAGTCTCATTGAGCCACGAGAACTCATTTTCAAGAGAGACCTGTTTAGGGAGCACATGGTGGGTGTTAAGGGCCTTGCTCATGGGCCCAGAGTGGGGCGAATGAGGGTGGGGGCAAGTGTGGGTGTTTCACCTACCCCACCCACAATTTTGATGTTGTCGGGGCCGGGGCGTGAACCGGCGATCTTCGGATCACAGGCCCACCTCTCTAACCTCTGCGCCACCACTCCCCCTAAGCACCACCACCCCCCCTTTAAGCATGCAATAAAAATACAAAAACAATGCGCCAAAAGTGAAAAAGAAATACATCTACAGCAGCATGGTCCTATTAGCAGATAAGTTTTAAGTTTTAAGCTAAGTTTTTTTTTAGTTTTAGGGGGAGTGGTGGCGCAGAGGTTAGAAGATGGGCTTGTGATCGGAAAGTTGCAGGTTCACCTCCCGGTACCGTCAACATCAAAATGTGGGTGGGGTAGGTGAAACACCCACACCTCCCTCCACCCTCATTCACCCCACTCTGGGCCCATGAGCAAGGCCCTTAACCCCCACCATCTACTCCCTAAACAGGTCTCTCTTGAAAATGAGTTCTCGTGGCTCAGTGAGACTACCCGGATAAATAAAGCGTAAATGAACAAAAAAAGAAATTAGAAGAGTGGTTCTGTTGGCAGTGAGGTTCTCTTAGCAACATGGTCCCATTAGCACCATAGTACTGTTAGCAGTGTGGTTCTGTTAGCGGTATGGTCTTGTTAGCAGCATTAGCGGGTCTTGTTAGCAGCATTAACAGGTCTTGTTAGCAATGTTATTGTTAGCAGGTCTTGTTAGCAGCATTAGCAGGTCTTGTTAGCAATGTTATTGTTAGCAGGTCTTGTTAGCAGCATTAGCAGGTCTTGTTAGCAATGTTATTGTTAGAAGGTCTTGTTAGCAGCATTAGCAGGTCTTGTTAGCAGCATAAGCAGGTCTTGTTAGGAACATTAGCAGATCTTGTTAGCAGCGTTAGCAGGTCTTGTTAGCAGCATAAACAGATCTTGTTAGCAGCGTTTGCAGGTCTTGTTAGCAGCGTTAGCAGGTCTTGTTAGCAGCATTAGCAGGTCTTATTAGCAGGGTTAACAAGTCTTGTTAGCAGCATTAGCAGGTCTTGTTAGCAGCATTAGCAGGTCTTGTTAGCAGCATAAGCAGGTCTTGTTAGCAGCATTAGCAGATCTTGTTAGCAGCGTTAACAGGTCTAGTTAGCAGCATTAGCAGGTCTTGTTAGCAGCATAAGCAGGTCTTGTTAGCAGCATTAGCAGGTCTTGTTAGCAGCGTTAACAGGTCTAGTTAGCAGCGTTAACAGATCTTGTTAGCAGCGTTAGCAGGTCTTGTTAGCAGCGTTAGCAAGTCTTGTTAGCAGCATTAGCAGGTCTTATTAGCAGGGTTAACAAGTCTTGTTAGCAACATTAACAGATCTTGTTAGCAGCGTTAGCAGGTCTTGTTAGCAACATTAACAGACCTTGTTAGCAGCATTAGCAGGTCTTGTTAGCAGCATTAGCAGGTCTTGTTAGCAGCGTTAGCAGGTCTCATTAGCATTGTTAGCAGGTCTTGTTAGCAGCATTAGCAGGTCTTGTTAGCAGTGTTAGAAGGTCTTGTTAGCATTAGAAGGTCTTGTTAGCAGCGTTAGCAAGTCTTGTTAGCAGCGTTAACAGATCTTGTTAGCAGATCTTGTTAGCAGGTCTTGTTAGCGGCATTAGCAGGTCTTGTTAGCAGCATTAGCAGGTCTTGTTAGCAGCGGTAACAGATCTTGTTAGCAGCGTTAGCAGGTCTTGTTAGCAGCATTAGCAGGTCTTGTTAGCAGCGTTAGCAGGTCTTGTTAGCAGCATTAGCAAGTCTTGTTAGCAGCATTAGCAGGTCTTGTTAGCAGCGCAGTCCCAGTAGCAGCATGATGATAATAATGACCGTGGTGACTGCCCTCCAAGACTGCTCTCCAGAACCGGATCTGGCACACAGAACATCCAAGGTTTCCCTGCGGAACCGAAATAGCTGTAGTAGAATTGTTAGTTGGCTGCTGCTAAAATGTTTTGCACTCACAAATAATCACAAAAAATTCAATAATCAATCAGTTCAATCAAAACTGACAATGACAGAGCTATTAGCTCAAGAATGTTTAAAAACTACCAGCAGACATTTTCCATGGAAATTTATGTAATGTTATGGCAATTACTGGGAACAAATAGTAAAAATGTTCAGTCAGGTCATTTGGACGTTTTTTTTAAATTAATTTTATTTTAATTTTTTTCTTCTCGGACTGAAGAAGTCCTTTGGATGAAGGACGAAATGTCTCAGAAAAAAACTAAAAACCGTCCAGATGACCAGACTGAACTTTGTTGGATTTGTATGTGGATTATGGAGCATGAATTTTGGTGGGAACAGTCTTCCTCATCTTCTTCTTTGGCTTCTTCCTTCTTCAGGTCACCACAGCGAATTAACTCTCATGAAGACGTGGCAATTATTTTTACACCAGATGTCCTTCCTGACTCAACCACAGACCACCGAGCTACCACAGCCCTCTGACTGGAGCAGAGAGCTGCCATCTATTGCGCCCAGGGGAGCAGATGATGGGGGTTAAGGGCCTTGCTCAAGGGTCCAGACTGGAGCAAATGAGGGTGGAGGCAGGTGTGGGTGCTTCACCTTTCCCACCCACATTTGATGTCTGTCGGTCCGTGGGATCAAACCAGCAACCTTCCAATCACAGGCTTGCCATCTCCAACCTCTGCGCCCCAGTAGGAACAAACAATAATAGACCTAATAGCTGTGGTAGCTCAGCGGTCAGTGGTGCAGTCTTGCAATCCTGAGGCTGCAAGTTTGAGCCCAGGTTGTGTCAGGAAGGGCATCCGGCGTAGATCAATTTCCAAATCTTTCTTGTTGTGGTGACCCCTGAAAAAGGGAGAGGCAGAAAGTAAAACAAAATAAATGAATAAATTTAAAATATTGAAGGTCAGCCATAAGTAACATCTTTAAATAAATTCAGAAAAAGTATATATTTAGCATAATTTTGTCTAAAATAACCAGATTTCATTGCCGTACCAGCAACGTAAGGTACCCCACTCTAAAAACAAAACACTCTCTGCTTCTTCATTTGGATATAAAATAGTTTGTTTAAATTATCCCCAATTTCCAGTTTATTTTTATAATCCCCAATTTTATATTACCATGGAACGTTTCTGGACAATTAATGGTACCAGAAATTTTCTCCCATTATCCAGTGCCAGCAAGACCAAAACTAGAAAAATCTGGTCACAAGTTTATTTTGACAGTAGTTGCTAATGCTGATGTTTGGAAAGAAGGCCCTAATGCTTTGCTTTGTTCTTTCTTACCCATTAGACAAATAGTTAATAGTCATGAAAATATTCAAGAGTCTTTGGAGCATGGCTTCATGACAGTGAATTTCTTACATCTGAATCTTACATTCTTACATTTTTGTGCATTACTTGAAACGTAGCTATGATGTTGTAAACTGCTCTGATTTCTTTTGTCTTTTTTTAATTGTCATTACCAGTTGTGGTCAAAAATTGATGTAGAATAATTTTTTAAAAAGTGTTCATATTTACTGCTTCCGTTATTCACAACGAAAGACGAGCTAAGTTGTGTCTCTGAATTGTCTGCGTTCAGTCTTGTGCGTAAGATTTGTACGATTCATGGACTGACGAGCTAACGGCTAGTCAGAGCAGGGCCTAAAGCGGATCGCTGCCAACTTAAAACAACACAAATGTTTTGCACTAACCATGTAATGCAAAAGTGATTGTAGTATTAAGGTTTATGAAATAACTTTGCTCCACAGCTGTTAGCGCTAATAAGTTAAACCCTCCTGCTGCCCTTGGGTTAAAATGATCAACGAGGCCTCAGTTTTCAAGGGCAGGGTTAAGTTTGTATTTGTTTGTTGGGGAATATTTTCATTTCACTCCTTATCAAAAACTTATCCAGAATTTTTTTTTCCTGTAGATTTTCAGTAAAATATTTTCAAATTACAATAAAGATAATAAATCATGGCAATAAAACCGATTGGATGTCACGATAGTTGTCTTTATATGTTGGGTTCAGATCATTCGGTTCTGTTTTGGCAATGTTTGCTTCATCTGCCTTGTGATTCATACAGAATCTTAAAGTGTTGCCTGTGTTAGCCAGAGAATTTATTAAACGTTACCTTTTACTTTTCATTGCAGGCTTTTGAATTCAAATTCTCTAACGACCATAAAAGACGATGCGTTCGCAGGTCTTCCACACCTGGAGTATCTGTAAGTTGTTTTTCTTTTCATACAGCAAAGTGTTGACTATAATATTACATTTGGTTACGTCCTCAAAGCAATACTTTTATAAAATGGTTGTGAGGCACATTCAGAAAAGATGTTTTGGCTGTCACGATCTGTATCTTTTGCTTGATTTTTGATAATTGTTTGTGTTTTGGTTTCAGTCCTCTTGTTTACTTTCTGTGCTGTTTTTGTGTTCACTTGTTCGCCTGTGCCGCTCCGTCATTCTCACAGTACTTTATTGTCAGTCTTCCCTCCCCAATTCTGCCACACCCACTTACACCTGTTTCTTGTTATCATTTAGTCCCGGCGTCTCCACTCCTCTTATCAGCGTCTGACTATGAAGTCCCTCGTTTTTTCACTTCTCTTCAGTCCGGCATTGTGTGTGTTTTCCATGCCATGTCCAGTTCTCCTCCATGTCTCCTTGAGTTTGTTCATTTGCAGCTTTTGTTACCTCGGCAGCCTTTGTTTTTGTTTTAAAAATTCAAAAATTTCAGCCTGTATTCCTGGATCCATCCATCCATCCATCCATCCATCCATCCATCCATCCATCCAT